AAAAAAAAAAAGAAAAGAAAAAGTAACATTTCTGTGAGGACACTGAAACTTTATTAATGATACACTGCAAAGGCATTCACATCAGAACTGTGAGAGAAATTTCAGAAGCACAGATGAAAAAAATTTCCCTTACGTTTCAGAAATCAGTACATTTTAATAGCAGTACAGAAAAACAATTATGAATCCTTTACATAGTCAGCATCCTATGTCCATCGAAATATTGTTCAGAGCTTCAAATATTAGCAACATTGAATGTCTGAAACAAGAAGTTGAGACTTAAACATATAGCCCTTCTCCCTCAATATTCCTACTGAGCTACTGGTGAACTGTGAAAAGAACTGGCACCGTGTCCTGACATAGGCCCTGCCATCAACACTGGGAAGCAACCTTCTATAGCTCTAGATCCTGCCATTATTGTTCACAAAAGACTACACACAGCTAAGCACAGAGGACGGGCAGCCAGTGGGTACCCATGGGATGCTCTCTGGAGGTGCAGGCACTGCCCCAAGCCCTCCCTCAGCAGGGGCATACCTGAACCTATAGAAAATGACACTAACAAGGATGAGCACCAAAGTAGAACCTTGCCAGAAGACACCAGATCTTTTTTGCTTCCTGAAGAGCCTGCCCAATGTAGCCATCTCATTCAAGGGCCAATTTGATAGCTGGCAGCCAACCATGAGAGTCACAGCAGCAGCAAGGACATGCTCCTGGAAGCTCTTCAGGCTGGACCTCATCCTCTGACTGTAGTGCAGTGGTTGGTGCCCATCACAGAATCCCTGGACAAAAAAGATGGCCTGCCCCAACAGCACTCTGGGCATGCTCTGTGGCAAGGGGAGCCTATGCAATTATCTCAGTGTTTTATTTTACAGATGAGAAAAGTGAGAGCCAGAATCCTGCTCATGGGATGGCTTGATGAGAGAATTTACCTTCAGTTCAAGCAGTAGCTTACATGGAGGATGTACATAAGCTTGGGCATCTGTGCTTCTGGTGTTAAAAAAAAAAAGAATAAACGTCTTGGGGCAGTCACTCAACAGGCATGTTCTATCAATGTTTTTTCCCACTTCTTGGATAAACTGAAAAACTGATATTGAGGGACAGGGTTTAAAATTTCCCAACAGCTCACCTCCCCAACTTTTTTTACATGAACAAAGCATGCAGGGTATTCTACAACTATGCCTCCTGGCCTCCTACATCTAAGTGGCAGTGACTATACATACTCCTCCCAAGAAGCTGGTAACCCTAGGTGCCACAACCTTTCAAAAGGATCAAGTCATGAAAGTTTTCAGGGCTCACCTCATCCAGGTGTTCTCATAGTTACTCCCAGATACTGCAAAGGTCCCTTTTAAGTGTCCAAAAAAGAAAACTTTGTCCCATTTGCCCTGGACTCTGCAAGTCCAAGGGGACAATTTAGAACCAGCACTGTCACATCCAGAAAGCCCTGGGTCTTCTGTTCTTCCTAAGGCAATCCCATACTGTCTTGGGGAAAAAAATCAACTTGCTTGGAAGCTATCAAGATCTGGAGAATACTGAAAGTTTTAGTACCTGTACACAGTGATGGCGAATCCTGACTAACTCAATCAAGCTTGAAGGGCTCTGTTAAGCAGTTGCTGAACATGAATTTATTTGTAAAATGGAAGTCTCATATGCCTAACACTGGGTTTTAAGTAATGTATCACCAAATGCCTAAATGAAAAAAGAAGTGGTTGTGCACACCTGTAATCCCAGTGGCTCAGGAGGCTGAGGCAGGAGGATTACAAGTTTAAAGCCAGCCTCAGCAAATTAGCAAGGCCCTAAGCAACTTAGTAAGACCCTGTCTCAAAAATAAAAATTAAAAAGGGCTGGGGATGTGGCTTAGTGCAAGAGTCCCTGGGTTCAATCCCTAGTACCAAAAAAAAAAAAAAAAAGTACTAACTGCATATGGTGAGATTCAAATCTCAAATGTCACAGTTTGTGCTTGTTCAAACTTGTATATGTCTGGATGAGTTATTAGGGGTAGTGAAGCAGACTCCTGTACAATCTGGGTTCTGCTTCCACCACCTTCGACAATCTCATAATTTTTAACCTATTGTTAAGTCAACTAAGAATTCTCACCAGTACTGATCCACTGCCACAAGATGACACTTAGTAATAATTTATCCTTCAGGCACAAAAAGGTTTGGCTATGACTGCTTGTTTTCTTAAAGTCCAGTCACTTAGCAATGTTTTTGTTCAAAGTCTTCTGGCCATTCTTCTGGATTTACTTCACATTCTCATTCACTCTCACTTCCGTCATCCTCCGAAGTGATGTCACTGTTTTCATCCACCTCTGCCACTTTGCAGGACAGGTTTTTAGAATTTAAGACTGTAAAAGTTAGATAATATATATGTTAAGAATAGTCTATTTGGAAAATCTTTGTTCCCCTTTATTTTGGTCAGTGCAGAAAATGTCCCTTGGGTTCTAGTTCAATCTAGCCATTTATTTGATATTTCTATTATTTTAGGTAAGAAATGAGCTGGTAAAATTTGCTCAAAAATAAACTGTTCATCTAGGTCAAATGTCATACAAGTGTTATAAGAAAGTGTGTTTATTACTAAGAGGTGGTAAATTCTCATACCACAACATTTAGCACCAAGATCAATCACAAAGAGAAAGCCAATTTCTAAGGGCTTTATACCAAATAGCATTTGCACAAAACTCGACTCCCTAAAGTGCAGATATGAACCACCCACACCATGCTCAGGACCCTCATCCCTTTAGGGAATAGTTATTTCACATCTTACTCTTGGAGAAAGGGCCGTCTTCCTCACATTCTTCCCAGTGATCAAAGTCAAATGCCACATTAGGATTCTGTTCAATAAAACAGCTCGCATAAGTGAACGAGTATAAAACCCATGGTGTGCAGACCAGTCAGCCATAGTGCGTTCAACTCACCCTCTGTTTGAGTAAGTTACACCAGGATTCCCTTTTCTCTTTTGCAAGTGTGATTACAGGCTCCTCATTTTTAATTACACACTTGCATTCATCTTTTCTTATGTTGGCCTGTAGCTCCATATCAGCCAAGTAAAATTTGTCTCCCACCCAGGCACTAGATTTAAAAAAAGAATAAAGTCAGCCTTCTAGCATATTGGAAATTATTTCTATCTTATTTTATAAGCCATGTGTAAACGTACCTGAAAATGACTCTATCTCTGAAGTATTTACATTTGTAATCTTTTACATTCCTTATTTTTATTTTCAAGATGACGACATCTTCTTTTTGGAACCACTTTACTTGTGGGTGAAAGCTAGAAGGAAAGATAAAGGCTTACCATATTTAGTCACCAATCAAGGGAGCATGTGCTCTGGCAACAGGGAGACATACCTTTTCAGGTGTGGCTGTGCGCTTTTGCTAATGGGAGCAGCTCCTGTGTCTTCAGATAAAGTGTCTGTACAAAATCAAAGTCAAATTTTCCTACAGGTTATTTATATACAACACATACACAGTTATAGGTACACATACTCTTTTGCAACATACCCAACATTTAGACAAGGGATTACATAAAAGTATATATTTCATAGAAACCTAATATCCAGTTAAAAAGAATAATTAGAGGGGTGGGGTTGTGGCTCAATGGTAGAGTGCTTGCCTAGCATATGTGAGGCACTGGGTTCTATTCTCAGCACCACATATAAATAAGTTAAAACAAAAATAATGGTCCATTGACAACTAAAAAATATTTTTTAAAATAATTTTTAAAAAATTTAAAAAAAAGAAGTCAAAGAAGACCTTAGAAGATGAAAAGATCTACCTTGCTCTTAGATAGGCAGAATTAATAAAAATGACCATACTTCCAAAAGCACTAATTTAATGCAATTCCCAATGGCATTCTTCATAGAAATAGAAAAAAACAATCATGAAATTCATCTGGAAAAATAAGAGACCCAGAATAGCCAAAGCAATCCTTAGCAGGAAGAGTGAAGCAGGTGGCATCACTATACCAGACCTTAAACTATACTACAGAGCAATAGTAACAAAAACAGCATGGTATTGGCACCAAAACAGACTGGTATACCAATGGTACAGAATAGAGGACACAGACACTAACCCACAAAATTATAATTATCTTATATTAGACAAAAGTGCCAAAAACATGCATTGGAGAAAAGATAGCCTCTTCAACAAATGGTGCTGGGAAAACTGAAAATCCATAAGCAACAAAATGAAATTAAACCTCTATCTCTCACCACGCACAAAACTCAACTCAAAATGGATCAAGGACTTAGGAATAAAACCAGAGACCCTGCATCTAATAGAAGAAAAAGTAGGTCCTAATCTCCATTGTGTGGAATTAGGACCCAACTTCCTTAATAAGACTCTTGTGGCACAAGAATTAAAATCAAGAATCAATAAGTGGGATGGACTCAAACTAAAATGTCTCTTCTCAGTAAAAGAAACAATCTGTGAGGTGAATAGAGAGCCTACATCTTGGGAGCAAATCTTCACACATCAGATACAGCACTAATCTCTAGGGTATATAAAGAACTCAAAAAGCTAAGCACCAAAAAAATCAAATAACCCAATCAATAAATGGGCCAAGGACCTGAACAGACACTTCTCAGAAGATGATATACAATCAATCAACAAATATATGAAAAAATGTTCATCATCGCTAGCAATTAGAGAAATGCAAATCAAAACTACTCTAAGATTTCATCTCACTCCAGTCAGAAATGACAGCTATTATGAAGACAAACAACAAAAAGTGTTGGCAAGGATGTAGGGGAAAAGGTATACTTATACACTGATGGTAGGACTGCAAATTGGTGCTGCCAATATGGAAAGCAGTATGGAGATTTCTTGGAAAATTGGGAATAGAACCACCATTAGACCCAGCTATCCCTCTCCTCAGTCTATACCCAAAGGACTTAAAAACAGCATACTATCCAGTCAGAATGGCAGCTATTATGAAGACAAACAACAATAAGTGTTGGCAAGGATGTGGCGAGAAAGGCACACTCATACATTGCTGGTGGGACTGCAAATTGGTATAGCCAATATGGAAAACAGTATGGAGATTCCTTGGAAAACTTGGAATGGAACCACCATTTGACTCAGCTATCCCTCTCCTTGGTCTATACCCAAAGGACTTAAAAACGCAAAACAAAAGGACACAGCCACATCAATGTTTATAGCAGCACAATTCACAATAGCTAAACTGTGGAACCAACCTAGATGCCCTTTAATAGATGAATGGATTAAAAAAATGTGGCATATATACACAATGGAATATTACTCAGCAATAAAAGAGAATAAAATCATGTCATTTGCAGGTAAATAGATGCAGCTGGAGAAGATAATGCTAAGTGAAGTTAGCCAATCCCAAATAACCAAGTGCTGAATGTTTTCTTTGATATAAGGAGGCTGATTCATAGTGGGATAGGAGGAGGGAGCATGGAAGGAACAAACTCTAGATAGGGCAGAAGGGTTGGAGGGATAGGGAGCGGGCATGGGGTTATAAACGATGGTGGAATGTGATGATCATTACTATCCAAAGTACATATATGAAGACACAAATTGGTGTGAATATACTTTGTATACAACCAGAGATACGAAAAATTATGCTCTATATGTGTAACAGGAATTGTAATGCATTCTGCTATTATATATAAAAATCTGCATGTTTGTATTTTAACAATGTAGCTAAAACTTGATGTCCTTTTTTTTCCTTTTTGGCTTAATGAATATCATTTATTTCGAATGAAATCTTTATACTATATATTCCATGAAATCCCTGGTATCCATCCTCAAAAAGAATACATGTATATTTAATCTTGAAAAAAAAAACGAAATCAGAATGGAAGTCACTGGGGAGGGTTCTGGAAACCTTCAAAAGCAAAACCTAGGTATGGCTAGAGGACATAACAGATGTCCAGTGAAGTATACAGGTGCTAAATGGGAAGCTCTCAGGGTTTGTACAATACAAACATGTTTGAAAAAAACCACCATTGGAAGCTGAATCATCAAAAAGAGGAACAGTTAGGTATGACAGTTTGCGTTATTTTCTCTGTATTTCATCTACCAGTGGAAAGCAGTTCTAAACATTAGTGATTTCAAGTTAGCCATCTTTTTTTTTAAAGAGAGAGAGAGAGAGAGAGAGAGAGAGA